ATCATAAATATAATATAATATGTTATATAATATATATAATGTGTTGTAATAATGTATAGTATGACAATATATAACATAGTAATATCATAGAATCATAGAATCAACCAGGTTGGAAGAGACCTCCAAGATCACCGAGTCCAACCCTACTGTGGTCACTAGACCATGGCACTAAGTGCCACATCCAGTCTCAGCTTGAAAACCTCCAGGGATGGTGAATCCACCACCTCCCTGGGCAGCATATTCCAATGCCTGAGCACTCTCTCTGTAAACAAATCTCTTCCTAATATCCAACCTAATCCTCCCCTGGCAGAGCTTGAGTCTGTGCCCTCTTGTCTTGCTGCTGGTTGCCTCTCCTCACGGGACTTGTGCTCGAGTCCCTTCACCAGCCTCTTTGCTGTATAATAATATGCATAGCATGGCAAAAAAAGAGTAAGAGCAAGGGCAGGGAAGGGTGCAAATCTGGCTTTGTGCCAGCACCATGACTCCCACTATGCTCAGGGAGATGGAATTTGTCTGTATTTGTTTCTGTCATCAGTCTCAAGGAGGCATACAGAACCACTTACATGAATTTGCCCCTTTCCTTCCGCTGCACCTCTTTAAACAATGGCCACAAGAAGAGGAAATTTCATAGAATGTAGAGGAAGTTCCATCTTTGCCAACACTGGGAACATTTCTCACCATTGCACATGCCAAATATGGGTTGACCCAGCCTATAATAATTAGGGAGCACTAATAGTTTCCAGCAGTTAAATGCTTGTTTCACCACTGATTGGAGACAACTTTTGGAATTTTATGCTTCTCTTTTCCAGCCCTTTTCTCTCATCTGAAAGACATCTCCTGCTCACTTCAGAATTTGAAAGAAATGATTGAAGATCCTCTGTTGAACATTTCCTCCTTACACCAGAGTGAAAATGAGAGCAACTCAACTATTTGCCCACGCTTGGATGACTGGTGGGAAGCTGTGTACTCTATAGTACCCAATTACATCTTGTCTGTCTGCATTATTGGAATGCTTGGAAATTTATTTGTTCTCTTCACTTATTCACTGCACAAGGGCCCCCTGAAGATAGCTGAAATCTACCTTATGAACCTAGCTGTGGCTGATCTTATTTTCCTCATGTGCCTCCCTTTCTGGGCAGAGAACATGAGGAATGGATTTAACTGGCCATATGGCAATTTCCTGTGTCGCAGCACCAGTGCATCCATCAGCCTAAACCTGTACACCAGCATCTACTTGCTAGTGGCAGTCAGCGTGGATCGGTATTTGTCTTTTGTCCATACCATGAACCACAGAAGGATACGGAGTATAACTATGGCCAAAGGGATCTGCTTGCTCATCTGGTTCTGTGGCATTCTCCTCAGCCTCCCAGCCTTTGTATTTCGGACAGTGAAATACTTTCCCATGTGGAATATTTCAGCATGTGCTTTGGACTTCCCCACCCCATTGTGGATAACAGCTGATAACCTGGTATTCAATATAATGGGATTTGTGCTGCCATCTCTAGCAATCATCTTCCTTAATTTCTCTACCATCAGCTCCCTACAAAAGAATTCAAGGGAACGAAGAGCACTTGGAACAAAAGGTTGCACGGGGCACAAAGGCACAAAGGCTACCAGGCTGATCTTCACAGTGGTACTGATGTTTCTTTTCTGCTGGACTCCTCACCATATTTTTGTGTTCCTTGATACATTATACCATACAGAAGTGATCAAAGGCTGCTTCTGGGAGCAACTGATCGACTTTGGGGAGCAGTTTGCTTACATGCTAGCTACTACCAACAGTTGCATTAACCCTGTGATTTATGTCTTTGTTGGAAAATACTTCAGACAAAAGGTTTTGGAAGTTTTTTCACAGTTCATTCCCTGTGGATTTCCTTTGAGATGGGTATCCTTCAAAGAAACATCTTCAAAGTTCAACATGTTCTCAGTCAGGAGTAGTTCAAGCTAACAGCTCTCAGTTCAATCGTCATTTTGATATAGCAACTTATTTAGTGCCATTATAAATGGCATGAAAAAATTAGTATGAATTGCACTGGTCTGGCATTCACCAGCTAATTATTTATTCAAAAAAAGCTAATTATTTATTCAACAAAATCACTTGATTATTTGATTTATCTTCAGGTTTTCTTTACTTTTTCTGTGTTAGTCATCCAAATGCATAACACGTGATACCAGGATTTTATACTAAATGATCCAGCCTGTCTTACCAATTACCAGTGACTTGAAATAAAAATTATTTGACAAGGTACCAGAAACCTGGTTTCTTTACAGAAAGCCATAAACCAGCTGAACATTTTACTGCATTGTATGTGTGATGACAATTACTATACTACCATGCATGAAATTGCAACAGGTATTACAGAGCAATATGAGCTTAATCTTCAGCTGGTAACTACATTTGAACAATTATAGAATAGCTCTGGCTATTTTGATTGATATTATAACTGGATTGCATTTTCATGGATATATGTGAAAAATCTGTATAATTTTTGTGCATTTCAAATACATTTAGTGCATAAATATTGTGCAAGATGGTGTACCACAAAGAAAACGTACATAAGCTGTAAAAAAAGCAAAGTAACCCAGTAGCCTCCTCAAGATCTGACTTTTTTTTTTTTTGTTACACACCTTTTTAACAGGTACATAAAGATTCTTTTTTTTTTTATGTGTGAAAATATCTGTGGTGACTATTGATACTGTATTATTTGGGAATATATTTCTTCTGAGGCAAATCCTTAGCTAGATGTTCCTGGATGAAATCCTGAGCCATGTGCTCTAGGTTGGCCCTGCTTGAGTGGGGATGTTGGACCAGATGACTCATTGTGGTCCCTTCCAAACTAACTGATTCTGTGATTCTGTGATATTTATATCTTTATGAATCCAAATGAATAAACTTCATAACATCTCATTTTATATCATGGTCTTGTCCTTTCTTATATGTGTATTAGTATTTTGTCTCTTTTCCCTGTTTCTTTGTGGAAGAGCAAATGTATATAGTTCTGTGATTCAAAATCCTTGTTGCTACCAGAATACAAACTGTGGTAGTAGAAGAAAACATCTTTTCCACAGTTGCAGAGTAGAATTAAGGCGATTGATATCTGCTTCCACAACTCTAAAAGTATGTGTACATACAGACATGGAAGAAGACACAGTGCAGCCTGTTCAGCCAGAAAGATATTGAGTACCAAAAGGAGCATACAAGCACAGCATTTGTGTAAAAAATTATTTAATTAGTTATCATAAACCCTGTTCAGTGTTGCACTCACTGTAACAGTGCTTCATTTTCTGCAGTTCTTTTTAGTGTTGCCATTTTCACTATGGAATTAATCTCTGCTTTAATTACAGAAATCTGCCTCTTCAACTTCACTGCAATAAGATTAGTGTTAATTTTTAGTGATTCTCCCAAACTTTTTGAGTCTGAACAGCAGAAACCTTTTGAAGACTTAAAAGCCTATCTTGCTGCAATGATGGTTTAAGAATTAAGGGTGGATTAAGGGATCAGGGAGGAAGAATCACTCATAGCTTTACTGGTTTCACTCCTTCTGACAGGATTTTAAAAATAAATGTCAGGCTTAGACACTAACAGGCACAACAGCATGTGAGGTCTCCTGAGTCAGCTGAGATCAAATTCTAATTCCCATCTATTGTAAACTGTTGCACATTGCATTTTTCTAATACTTCCCCAGCTTAATACTTGACTCAAACAACTTCCAAGAAGTGTAGAAACCGGAGTGTCGCTTTCCTCCTATGGATGAGGACCTTAAAAGGGAAAAATATCTTGTCTTGTCTGTCTCACACTTGTCCATGTTATGCAGTGTACACAAACAAAGGGTAAAAGACTTCTTGAATGCTGTGGCGTATTTAGGGTATGAGCTAATGGATTGAAAATCAGCCTGAAACCTGAATTTAGTGGGAAGTCTCCTGTTTCCATGAATGTGCAAGTGACAAGGGCTTTCGTGGCATTGCCACTTCTTTTACATGTGCACAACTGCCAGGAAAAGCATCTCTAATTTCAATGCAGCTTTAAACCACTTAGCACAGTCTTGCAAATCGTTGGATTTACTCTCAATACGAATATATGTAAATGAAAGGGTTTTTTTATCCATGAAGTAAAAACTGATCAAGTTCTCTCATTACTGATTATGTGAGTTGCATTAATGTGGAAAAATACAAGCAGTCAATGCAACTCACCCCACAGCAAATGCAAAATTATGCATTTGGTCAGAAATGATCCTCTGCACAGATCCAGAGTGAGAGATGACCAGCAGTTCAGCTGGAAGGATCCATAGACTGAAAGTTGAACATGACCCAGG